TTAAATGCATTGTTTATTTATTTATATCATTTATGTATTTATATATTTATTTAAATCACATTTAATTAGTAATTTTCCTAATCATTTTCATTTATTTAAAGTAAAGTTATTTATTTATTCATCCATTTATTTTGTTATTAATTTGGTCATTGCTGTTCCTCCTGCTTGCCATCAGAGGGCTCCATCACCATACTGACTAGTCCTTCCTGGACTCCATTTCCCATGATCCCCTTTCCAGGAACTAATTACACTCACACCTGTTGCCCATTACCAAGGGTTCACTCATACACTCACTCAGGGGCAGGGCTAAGTCTAGGGCTGCGTTCCAGTTAACTTTGTTTATGCCCTTCACTTGCTAACTTCCCACCGTCTCGTTTACTCGGATGTATGTCATTGATTACTTTGCATGAGTGCCCACTACTGGTGGAACCCTTGGAATGGGCTGAATTGGAACGTTTACATTTATAACTGCCCAAGCATATCTATATACATATAGAATTCTGCACCAAACAAATTAGTGCGATAACAAAAGTAAACAATAAACCAACTCCATAGCGGATTCTAAGTGATCAAGACCTTAGGATGTTTCCGATTCAGCCCATTGCAAGGGTTCCGCCAGTAATGGGCACTCATGCAACGATGTAATCAATGACGTACATCTGAGTAAACGAGACGGAGGGAAGTTTGCGAGTGAAGGGCATAAAAGAATGGACTGGAACGCAGCCCAGTTTTGCCATGGTGACCATTTCTGAGCGGTCTTCCCCTTGCAGTGCCCTGGGCTAACCCAAATATACATTGACTACGCAAATATACAATGCACAAAATATACAAAATATACAAACTTTTTATTACCAATGAAAAGCACACTTTCTTTCTCCCACTCTCTCCTACAAACGCAAACACATACAGTACAGACACATTGTGGCGAGCACACATGGAACAAATGTGTGCACAGAAACTTGTCAGCTCTGACCCATGACATTATCAGTAAAATAGTTTTGCAACTAAAAAGCTACATGACATTTCTCAATAACGCTGCTGTTTTTGAAGACGTTAAACGTACAGATTCACTATTAGTAGACATGCTGTTGTTTGTTGAGAAACTCTGCAGTACTCTGGTAATTCACACATGTTAAATCTCTCTCTCTCGCTCATAATGCTCCAGTAATGAACTTAACCTTAGTTCCCTGAGATGAGGCTTAAGGGTACGCTTATGGGGAAACTCCCGTTTATTCTAAATACTGAAGTTTGATTTGTTCTTGTTCTTGTAGCTGCACAAACAAATGGCACTTCAGCCAAACTGTGGGGCCATCTGCTATACAAGTCGGCTCTGAGCGGCATTTCGTCAGAATCTTTGATGGCCACAGTCATTGACTCGCGTGCAGCCTTATAGCACGGCATGCTACGCAACACTCGTTCCCTTATCTCAGGGAACTCAGATTATGTTAATAACCAGATTGTTCCCTTTTGTATGGTCTTTTCCATTGTGTTGTATGCTTATAGGGAACATGTCCAATAGCGATGTGCTATAAGCAAGAGCAGAACAAAGCCGCTCTTCGAGCCCAGTCTGGAGCACCCAAAATAAGGGTTCGTAAAAAGCATGAGCCAATTATGAGACCCTAGCCACAGGCTGGGATCTACATAACAAAAACTTCTTCACTTACACAGGGGATTACGTAAATTAGGAAGACAAAACCTGTGCCTGAAGGGCAGGTACAGCCAAGTTATAAAACCTGGGCAAAAAAAGCAGCTGCACATATCACCAATAAGAACTCAGCTGGACCAAGCCCAGGAGGAGGCCATTACTCTGGTGGAGTGGGCCCTTGCTCCAATAAAACACTGTAAGCCAACTGAGGCATTGCCAGGGTTATAGCGTCAACTATCCAGCCAGATCTGTCTCTGCTTTGTGACTGGCAGCCCTTTAGAGCGGTCTCTGAAGCAAACAAAGAGCTGCTCTGAATGCCGTAAGTGGTTAGAGTGCTCTACATACACTCTAGGAACCCAAATCAGACAGAGTGAATTTGGACCCCACTCATCCTCTGGGTTAGGAAGAGCCAGAAGGGTGAATTTAATTAAATTGAATTGAACTGAATACCTTTATTGTCATTGCATGTAGCATTGTGTGGAAATGCCACTATATCCATCTACATTCACACTCATATAAACCATACATATAAATAAATATACAAAAAAATAAGATGAATTAGTCCTAAAAGAAACCTAAAAACCAATATTAAATTGACTTGTGCATTTCATTACAGTAGTATGGCACAGTCCATCCTTTCAAAGTTTTAAGGGTAATGTCGTGTCTTGGTTTGAGGATGACTCTACAGTCGTTAGGCCCAAACTTAAGGCATGAAGCACTGACTGACAGTGGTTGTAAATCACCCACTCGCTTGACCATAAGGCTAGAGGAAGGGTGGTCTTAAGCAACAGGGGTCATAAGTCTGCGACTGGAGTGGCTCAAAAGGAGGACTACAGATAAGTCCCATGTGGTATAAGAACAAGGCAGATTTAATATACGAGCTCCCCTCAGGAACTTAATGACAAGGTAATTTTTGACGAGTCTGACTGACTGCAAAGCCATGAGCCATGGCTGCCACATATATTTGAGTGTGGAAGGGGTGCGCCCATTGTCTAGCAGATCCTGCAAAAAGGTTAGCATGGATGATATGTCACAAGAGGACGGGTCCTCGGTCCGTGCTGCACCAGTCAGAAAAGACTGACCATTTAAGGGCATAGAGGCTTCTTGTAGATGGGGCTCTAGCCTTCAAAATGTTATTAATCACACTTGTGGGGAGCTGTAAAGACTCCCATCAAGGGGCCAAACATGAAGGCTCCACAGCTCAGGCCGGGGATGCCAGATCATGCCTCGTGATGAGAGAGGAGGTTGTTCCTTAATGGAATTGGCCAAGGGGCTGTTGTCCATAGCAGCTTGATCAACTCAGGGAACCACGTCTGATTCTTCCAGAGAGAGAACACAGCACCTGAATTCTGTGAGCTGTCTGATGACCTGAGGGAGCAGGGAAATCAGAGGGAAGGCATACAAGTGAAACTCTGGGCCATTTGTGGGCCAGAGCATTTAGCTCCCTCGAGAAACATGTTGGGCAGTGAAAGGCAAAGAGGTCCACCTGTGCCCTCCCATAGACAGACGAAATCGTTTGAACCACTTGGGGATGTAGTCTCCATTCACCTGGGAGAAATGTCCTGGGACAACATGTCTACTGGTTGGAAGCATCTATCATGACCACTTTCCTTCTGGAGGTCAGTCCCAATGGGACGCCAGTCTGAAGCAGGCGAGGGGCCTTTCAAGGGGCCACAGCTCTGATGCAGCGGTGGGTCACCTTGAGGCGAAGAGCGTGGGAGGGTACCTGGGTTTTAAGCCAAAATTGGAGGGGCCTCATATGAAGCAGGCCCTGCGAGTGAACAGAGGTAGATTGCTTGGGCGCTTGTTGAGTAAGAAGGATGGGCCCAGCTTGAACAGAGCTTCCATCGCCAAGAGCTAAGCGGGGGGATAGAGAGTGAGACTTCTTTGAGGACAGTCTGGGCTCGGTGGGAACAGGCCATCTCCTCTTCCTCTCTGCACTGGGATCAGGATGGCTTCTGTGGCTCAGTGTCCAACGTCACTATGGGGCAGGGTCTCTGGCGTTTAGGAAACGGGTAACATTTAGCTATCTGAGGGCGCTGTTGGATCCCAGGGTTCCCTACATGCCACCTTCGCGTCATGACATTTACAACAATGTTGCTGTGGAAATTTGGTCTAGGAAATGCTCTTTGAAATCACCGGATGGCCGCAGGGGAAGTGCTGATGAGAGGCATTCTTCCACTGTCAGGGCTCTTCTACGGTGAGTAGCAGGCTTCAAGCTTCTTATTCGGTCCAGCAAGGAGATGATCTTAATGAATCAGTCCTTTTGAACTAATGAATGATTCCATGAATCATTCATTAAGACAGTGATTTGCCACCACCTCCTGGCAGTTTTAGTTTCATATTTAAAAGCATCATTTATTTTCCCCAGTCATTTTGTATTTCAATATTCAAAATGTCATATTTAAAACATTAATCTCATAATATTATTTATGCATTTGTAATTGCTTTAAACGCATTCATGCCACCAATTTTTTTTATTTAGAGGTAGTTAGCATAAAAACAAGACATTAAAGGTGATATGCCCCTTGCCTTAAGTATTCCAAAGTATTTACATTAAGTCACTAAATTTGAGTGATCTAACAAAATACGTTACAAAATACATGCTTTAAACAGTATTTTGTAATCTGTAATGAAATACATTTTAAAATGAACCTTCCCAACCCTGGCAATGTGCATGTATTAAATTAATATTTCATTTATTACACAACCATGCATGACAGCACTGAATATTTCCGTCAAATCATGCATTTGTATTTACTATAATAGGCTGCTAAAAGTATTCTCGTAGCTTCCCCAAATTGAAGTTGAACCACTGATGTCACATGGACTGTTTTACTGATGTCCTTGCTACGTTTCTGTCTGGGAACATTACAGTTGCGTTGCTGTCTATAGAGGGTCAGAGAGCTCTCAGATTCCATCAAAAATATCTTAATTTGTGTTCCGAAGTTCTTACGGGTTTGGAACGACATGAGGTGAGTAATTAATGACAGAATTTTCATTTTGGGGTAAACTAACCCTTTAACCTAACGTCTGAACAACTCAAATGTGCTCAAAGACTCTATAGAATAATTGCAACACGTGTTTAAAGCAATTAAATACTTTTTTGTTCTTTGTATTATTTCCAAATATGTTTAAGGAAAAAAAATAAAACAAACCGTTTACATAATTTGAAACAGTTTTTTATTAGCAAAAGACAAGCAAAAATACATTTTACTATATAGTATCATAAAATGTAAGCATCAAATACTTGTTTTGACAGATTTTAGCTTCCTGCTGAAGCAAAAAAAATCAAAGCCAATAAAGTTAATGAATACGTTCTTTAATTATACTGTGGAGATGGTTAAAAATCTTTTTTTTTTTCTCGAACCAGTGGCAGTTGCAAGAAGTATGCATATACTTTACACTGCAAGTATATTACATGCAGTGAAGAAAATGTAACTGAAGGAAAATCCTCTATTAAAATTAGCATCAGCAAAATGGTTTAATGCAGTGATTCTGCATTCTGAAAAGTGATCATGTACATCACATCATGTAAGGCAGGAGATGGTAGAGTGAGTGATCATATCACAGCTTAGGCTTTATCATGCCCATCATCTTGTCCAATTTCATGGCAAGGCCCATGTCACCCTTAATCTTCAGCTTTCCAGACATGAACGCCATAGTGGGCTTTAATTTCCCTATTGATGTGAAAGAACATGGTTTTCATCAGTGCTTCAATTTTTTATTATTCGGTTTCAAAACACCCTCTATGATCCAGTTATGTCAGTAGTGTGTAAAAGTGCATCAGCGACACTTTTTCTACCTCCGAACATCTTGATGAAATCTGAGCTGTCCAACGTCATGACAACATCAGCTTTGACAGGTGGTTCCCCACTGCCAGCACTTCCTGCATCGTTCTTCAGATCAATGTACCAGACTCCAGCATGATCACCTGTCAAGCAACCCAGCAAACATTAATAAACACAGATTTGATGGGTGGGACATATGCAGCTTTTTCAGAAAGTGTTCTCCAACCCTGCTCCTGGAGAGCTACCGTCCTGCAGATTTCAGCTCCAAACCCAATCAAACACGCCTGAACCAGCTAATCCAGGTGTTCCGGGTTACCTGATAATTACAGGCAGGTGTGGTGGAGCAGGGTTGAAACTGAAGCCTGCAGGACGGTAACGGTAGTTTATGACACAGCCATGATTTATGATTTGATATTGCTAGTCAGAAGTAGGTGATATTTGGGGGTGGGACATAATTATTCTATAAAACCTTTAATTGTACAAAACTGTGATACACCTGTGAGTCCAACATGATATTTTCAATATGAAATACTATCCATTTTAATGTATATTTGCGGTTACATATTTCTATTAAATCATAATTAAATATAAACATAGTTACGACATAAAAAGTTAAAAGTATGACTTACTTAGTCTTATTAGATGAAAAGTTGAAATTGATGTAAGAAGTCATAATGACTTAGCCTGTCAATTTCCAATTTTTCAACTGTTCTTTTTCATAGCATGTTTCACAATACATGCTGTTCTAAAGCTTTGAATAGCAATAAAAGTGAAACAATGGTACGTGTGCACCATTTTCACAAGAGACATCATAAAAGAACATCCTTTCAGCTTCCTGTTGTTCATTTGCTTACAGCGCCACAAATACTCTCGTTCACATTCATGCATTTGCACAATGCATTCAAGGTATATATTTACATTTTATCATATTTGCTTTCCCTGAGATTTGAACCCATGTCCTTGGTGTTGCTGGCGACATGCACTACTGTTTGAGATTCAGGAAATTTACACCAATCTCTATAAAGACACAAATCATCATTGCTGAAACAAAGTGGATTTAGCTCAGAAGCTAATAACGAACCATGGGTCATGTATATTAAATGGATTCAACAAAAATAACTAATTTATTCAACAATTTTTCTCCCCCAAGTTACTGTCTTTTGCCATTTTCCCCTAAGCGTAAAAAACACTGATTACGCTGATTACATTCATGTGTGCACTTTTCGCTGATTACGTTGATTAAGTTCTTGGGTATTCTCCAAAATGGCAGAATAACGTAACTCGGGGGAGAAGAACTGTTGAATAAATTTGTTATTTTTGTTTTCTTTGTGCACAAAAAGTATTCTCGTAGCTTCGCAAAACTGAAGTTGAACCACCAAAGTCACATGAACTGTTTTACCGATGTCCTTACTACGTATCTGGACCTGGGAACATTACAGTTGTGTTGCTGTCTATGCAGGGTCTGAGAGCTCTCAGATTTAATAAAAAATATCTTAATTTGTGTTCCGAAGATGAACGGAGGTCTTACGGGTTTGAAACGGGTTTTGGCCGTTACATTTTCCTACAGTTTAATATTCAATGGAATATTCTAGTGAAATAAGTAGATTTTCAGAGGAATGCCAGTGTTCTGGTCACTCTTTTCCCTGCAGTTACAATGAGAGCTTACCAGAACGTTCAAGCTTTAAAAGAAAGACACAAAACATAATAAAAGAATCACATGCGAGAACAAATCTCATTGGTTTTTCAGAAGCTCAAAGATGCTTAAGTGACACATGAGAACAAATATGATCTCTGTATGTGTGCCTTGATCAGTGTTTATATGCGAGTAAAAGCCTAAATTCATCCATTTATTAAATAATATAATTGTGTCAGACGAATTGGATTAAACTGCTTGATTCATCTAAATTACATTTAAAATGTCTTTAGGACAGTTTTGATGCATCAACATTTTGTTGGAATAGACTTTCATCAGAAGGACAGAAACCTTCAAGGTTTTATTAAAAATATCTTCAGTAGTTTCAAAGATGAATGAAAGTTTAATGGGTTTGGAATGACATGAGGGTGAGTAACTGATGACAGAATTTTTGGGTGAACTATCACTTTAATAACTCCTTTGTAGGATCTTTGTCGATATTTATTACAGAATACAGACTCAGCAATATCTATATGCATTAATGACTGATGCAGGAAAGTCATTACCTGTCTTGGGCCATAAGGCATTAACAGCGATAGATCCCTTGAACTCTTCGGCCATTCCAAGTACACACATGGACATGCCATACTTTGCCATGGTGTACGCTACACAGACACAGCGGAAAACAAGATCAGTGTCATTATTTGTCACTATTACTGAATAAATGTTCAGTGAGAGTCTGAAACCAAAGGCCTACAGCACTGAATGTAAGAATGCTCTTGCGCTCACCTGTGTGGTTTTTGAACCAGATGGGATTGAGGTTTAGAGGTGGGCTGAGGTTAAGTATGTGAGGGTTCTTGCTCTTCAGAAGATGTGGAATGCACAGTTTAGACCTGTAATAAATCAGTGGCCACAGTCAGAAGAATATTGTGTTCAAAACAAGTTAAGCTGACAATTTCTGTGACAAGCTGTCGACTAACACAGAAAATATTTCTGACATTTATTGTGATCTGTTATTCTAAAGAATAACTTCTACTCACGTCAGGTACGTTCCCCTGAGATTGATGCCTAGCATAAGGTCAACTTTCTTCATTGGAGTTTCCAGAGTTCCTGTTAAATTGATGGCACTGGCATTGTTGACCAATATGTCAATCCCTGTCAACAGAACCACACAAGATTAAAGACCAATTAAAACACACCTGAGTGCTCAAATTGTGAGATATATGAAATACTGTAACTCACCTCCAAATTTCTCCACAGCTTTTCCAACAGCATCATTGATCTGCTTCTCATCACGGACGTCTACGATGCACGGCAGTGCTTTGCCTCCAGCAGCTTCAACTATCAAACAGAAGTTAATTAGACAGACTTATCACATGAAATTATTTATGAAATATTTAGCATTATGTAACTTATGCACCAAAGGATCCTCTGCAGTGAATGGGTGCCGTCAGATTGAGAGTCCAAACAGCTGATGAAAACATCACAATAATCCACAAGTAATCCACACCACTCCAGTCCATCAGTTAACATCTTGTGAAGTAAAAAAATGCTTGTTTGTAAGAAACAAATCCATCATTAAGACATTTTAACTTGACGAAATATGAGTATCCATACTCCATAATAACGCTGCCTCCAGTTAAAACGTCCATCCCATGTTGTGTCTCTCATCAAAATCCACCGAAATATTAGTTTAGAGCTGTTTTTGGACTGTTTTCACTTATAAACAGTGTTTATATGGGATTTCTTTTTCACTGAAGAAAGCTATATTATGGATAGAGGACTCATATTTTAGCCAGAAGCAATGATTTGAAAAGCCTTAACGATGGATTTGTTTCTTACAAACGCAGCTTTTTGCTTCACAATGCATTAATTGATGAACTGGAGTGGTGTGGATTATTGTGATGCTTTAAGCAGCTGTTTGGCTCTCATTCTGACGGCACCCATTCACTGCAGAGGATCCATTGCTGAGCAAGTGATGTAATGCTACATTTCTCCAAATCTGATGAAGAAACAAACTCATCTACATCTTGGATATCCTAAGGCAAATTTTCATTTCTGCGTGAACTTTTCCTTTAAAATATAAAAGTTACTGTTTTTTACTGAATATTGATCGAATAAGCCTTGGTGAGCATAAGAGACTTCTTTCAGAATTGTATTTCACATGAAACCAGTTTGAGACAACTTTTGCTTTGTGACATGGTGCACGATCATGATGGAAGTAGCTTTTAGAAGATACTGTACATTGTGTCCAAAAGTGATGCACAACAACAGTACTGTAAACATTCAAGTGATGATTGGTTGGTTAGTAACAGCCTATTGGCCGTTAATCAAAACCAGAATCAACAGCATGAATCCATGCCCTTGTGTCAACAGTTCAGGTGGGTGATGTAATGGTGTCAGGAATATTTTCTTGGCACAAGATCAGTTTTCACGTCAATGTTTGTTATATATAGCTTGCTATGATATTGACATGAACAACACTAAATACATTGCATGGAAGAAAAACTTCAGAATCAGCAATGCACTCACTGCTGGTGGCTCTCTCTTCTGGGTCATGTAGAAATAAACTGGGAATTTAGTTTTTAAAAACTCAACTCTGTTGAAAAGTTAAATACATTAGCAATAAATTAAAATCACTTTTTCTATAAAGACAATGAATGGGATTTTTACTTTAGAATTTTCCTCTCTGTAGTGTCCAGTTATAAAGGTATGTAAGAGCAACCGAGTCCTGCGCTCACTCTCTGCAGCAGCTGTGTAGATGGTGCCCGGCAGTTTGGGGTGAGGATCAGCGGTTTTGGCAGCGATGACCACATTGGCTCCGTCCCGTGCAGCTTTGAGAGCAATGGCCTTGCCAATACCTCGACTCGCTCCGGTAATGAAGACGGTATATCCTGCCAGCTTCCTAAAATGAATGCATAATCATATAATCATATAATCCAATCCTGTCATAATCAATGCACTATACAAACAGAGATGGATAGGCAAAACATAACATAACTAATCAGAGATGGATATATCTGTGGATATAATCATATTCTTATCTTATCTAAAGTATTGCGACTGATTTTACCTGCCAATTGGATCGAAAACAGCAAAGGTTCAGATATTTTTATTTTATTTTAAAGTTATGTTGCACAATTGTGTCCCTACTTTTTGTCAACAGTGCTATGAAAACATTTATGGCACTCTTTCTGTATTTCACCTGCCATGAGTTCAACAAGGTCACAGAGGTTCTCTCATATATAACCTTATTTTTATTGATTGATTGACCGATTGCACTTTTGTTGTTCATGTTGTCCTGTGTCATGAAGCACTGCAGTATGTCAATGTTAATCACATGGTTTTTTGTTTTGGCATTCCTTGACGGCTGCGCATAGGAAATTAGGGTAAAGGTCAAATTATTCAAAATACTATAAACATACCATAATAACGGGAGATATGCTTCTATAATCTGCAGAAGTCAGTTTCAATAGATTGCAGTTAAATTAGTAACACTGGCTGCAAAGTTTGACAACACAGTCCAGCCTTCGTAGGTCATTCAAAACACACGTAATATTGTGTGTAAATAAGCTCATACATATAAAACAAGTATTTTAATACTAGTACTTGGTTTATTAAAGTGCACTACAACAAAACACACAGGCTAAGCAGCAAGAATGAGACAAACTCACCCTGTGTTCTGCAGCATTGTCTCCTGTACTGTGTCTGAGAACGGAATGAACTACTGAAGCAATGCGTGTAACATTAAACTCAACACGCACTGAGCAAGCCAAAGCCCTTCAGATGAAAACGATGGCTGTGAATCTGACCTTTCTCTAGAAACATATTACACTGCATCATTCACTCATTCACAGTGTTGGGGAAAGTTACTTTTAAAAGTAATGCATTACAATATTGCGTTACTCTCTAAAAAAGTAACTAATTACGTTACTTAGTTACTTTTTATGGAAAGTAATGCGTTATATTACTTTTGCGTTACTTTCGCGTTACTTTTTAAATATAAGCAGGGCTTGATTGTTTTTAATATAAGAAGTTCTATTTATAGCAAATATAAAAGCCCTTTCACACCAAAAAGTGTAATGAATAAACCTCAGGCTGAAGCAAAAGTAAATTCACGTCTGTACAGTAGAACGCAGGAGAAGAAACACTCTTCAGCAATAAAAAAACAAAACACAATTGTTAGTTTTTCTAAAGTCATTTTTGCTTATTAGTACGGTTGAACTTGATCAGCAAAGGTCAGCAGCAAAGACATCGGTTAATAAAATGGGATTAGATACATGTGTTATTTAACATATTTAATTATTGCAGGTTTGCGTCATATTCTGAGTTTGCATTTCACGGTTTTAATTCATTTTGATGAATACTAAATCAGTTTTTTGTGAGTGGGATGAATTAATGCACATTCACATTTAGTCTAGAACTACAGTAACATCATGTTCACACAACGCACACAACGCCTCTGTACTCCCGATTTCTCCCAATATGGGGACAGGAGACTTGTCAGTCAATAAATGGGAAAACAAAGTAACTGGCATTACTTTTTTGAAAAAGTAACTCAGATATTTTCTTGTAAATTAAAAAAGTAATGCGTTACTTTACTAGTCTTTTGTTATGCAACCATTATATCGCATCTCGCTCTTGTCTACGCGGCGTGAAATCGGGGTAAATAGATTTGGTGAAGTGGTAAGAATGAAGGAAATAAGAGCTCCTCATGTGCTGCTGCCATTTTAAAGCCGTGAAGGGGCGTTTCTGAAGCGAATCTGTCTAGAAAACTGTGTTTCCTCCGACGCTCTGAAGTGGGTTTTATCATGTGAGGATTGTAAAAGAATATCGCGGTATTCGTCTTTATATCGCGATATTACGTTTGGCGACTTTTGCTCGGCCAGCGCGTCGCGATAAACAGCGCGCTCCCATTGTACGCAGTCGCGCGTTTACAGTATTTTATTAATCGTTTACCTTTTATATATGTGGTGTTGTTTAGTGTGCTTCGCTGTCATTGTTTACACTCCTGTGCGTGGGCAACGCGGGGGACTGCGTGCTGCACATATTATATTTTACTCGCTACATTGCTGGTTTTCTTGTCCTTTTTAGTGACTCGTTTCGCGGAATCGGTTCTTTCGAACAGTTCGTTTCATAAATCAGTTCAGTGATTCTCTGCGTCACGCGGTCCCTGACGTGTTTCGCGCTTTTACTGTGTTTAGACTCAGAGAGTGTTGCGTATTATTTGGTTTTTATTAATAAAGTACTTCAGAATATAATATAATGTGCAGTTACAATGCGTGACTCAGTTCACGTCAGGGTGTAGTTTTGCATGCTTTATTTATTCAAACGGACTCATGCATGTTGATAGAACTGCCATGGGGTCATAATCATATTCCAGTACGTTTTATTTGTAATATTTCTGAGTGGTAACTGTTTGTTGCATTATATAAAACCTCAGTGGTTGATTCTCAACTTGCAAATAAATGAAAGTCATCCGAAATCCCTCCATTATTCACTATTTCCTTCATGAATATGAGTGAACGAAAACAATCGAGTGAATTCAGACTTTGCGAGACGAAAGTGCTGTAGAGCATATCTAGGTGCATTATGGGATTGAATGAGTGCACTTGATAATGTTCCCTATTGTTTCGAACACCTCAAATAGTGCACTACATAAAGGTATAGGTGGCAATTTCAAACACAACCATGTTACTTGGGGTGACCATACGTGCCATTTTCCCAGGACACACGCGCGTCCTGGCCAGGATTTCTAGATTGCCTAAAATATCTAGGTTTTGGCTTTGTTTGCGTGTGCAGACCTCTGCGGTAGATAACCGGTAAATAACCGTCTGGTTGTTTAGTGTGCTTCGCTGTCATTGTTTACACTCCTGTGCGTGGGCAACGCGGGGGACTGCGTGCTGCACATATTATATTTTACTCGCTACATTGCTGGTTTTCTTGTCCTTTTTAGTGACTCGTTTCGCGGAATCGGTTCTTTCGAACAGTTCGTTTCATAAATCAGTTCAGTGATTCTCTGCGTCACGCGGTCCCTGACGTGTTTCGCGCTTTTACTGTGTTTAGACTCAGAGAGTGTTGCGTATTATTTGGTTTTTATTAATAAAGTACTTCAGAATATAATATAATGTGCAGTTACAATGCGTGACTCAGTTCACGTCAGGGTGTAGTTTTGCATGCTTTATTTATTCAAACGGACTCATGCATGTTGATAGAACTGCCATGGGGTCATAATCATATTCCAGTACGTTTTATTTGTAATATTTCTGAGTGGTAACTGTTTGTTGCATTATATAAAACCTCAGTGGTTGATTCTCAACTTGCAAATAAATGAAAGTCATCCGAAATCCCTCCATTATTCACTATTTCCTTCATGAATATGAGTGAACGAAAACAATCGAGTGAATTCAGACTTTGCGAGACGAAAGTGCTGTAGATGCCTTTTCCTCGATTAATTTGGCACCACACAGTGCATACTAGCTGTTGAGTGTACACTCGCTATCTAGGTGCATTATGGGATTGAATGAGTGCACTTGATAATGTTCCCTATTGTTTCGAACACCTCAAATAGTGCACTACATAAAGGTATAGGTGGCAATTTCAAACACAACCATGTTACTTGGGGTGACCATACGTGCCATTTTCCCAGGACACACGCGCGTCCTGGCCAGGATTTCTAGATTGCCTAAAATATCTAGGTTTTGGCTTTGTTTGCGTGTGCAGACCTCTGCGGTAGATAACCGGTAAATAACCGTCTGTACGGTACTTTGATGTCATACACCGATCGGTCTGCACACGCAAACAAAGCCAAAACCTAGATATTTTAGGCAATCTAGAAATCCTGGCCAGGACGCGTCCTGGGAAAATGGCATGTATGGTCACCCTACTGTTACTCACTGGGTTGGTGAGTTGATTCTTTCACCAATTCCTGAAAGAATCAATTAGTGAACCAGTTCAAATGATTCATCAAAAAATCCAACTCAACATAAAGGACATGTTCAGGAATCACTAGTAAAACATGATTTTATCGAAAGGGTTATTCCACACCTTGAATTACGCAAGTTATGGTTGTGTTTTGGTTAATGCTGAAGTGCCTCAGTGTCTTAAGCTCGTGAAAACTTCTCACAGTGTCCACACAGAATATAAGCCGTTTCCTATAATAGCACTACACCTTTCAGTCTTTTTAGCATGCTTATCTTTCCCACAGTTCATTTTGTAGTACAGTATACTTAGTAATGCATATACAGTGCCGTTGCAGTGCTGCAGAAGCGAAGGCATCAGATAATTGTGCATTTTCACACTCCCAGGGGATTTCCACCATCAAACAACTCCCACCTCTCCCCAGTGTGGGGATTACAATCTGCTTCTGAAAGACTGAATGCCCATTTCTCACTTTGTCTCAGTGTCTGGCTTTTAATAAATGTGGAAGCGTAAGGTGTCCACCTGGTATTGAGGGCTTCCTTCCTGCATAACGAGGCCTGAAAAAAACACCCGTATTGCAGAATACCTATCATACTCTCTATTGCATGAAGGGTTTCACATTTAATTCAAGCTCTTGCCTCATTGAAATGTTTGATATTTTTGCATGAACCTCTTTTTTTTTAACTTTAAGAATGGCAAACCATTCTTTATTGGCATTTATGGTTCCATGAGGAACGTTTAACATCCATGGAATCTTTCCATTGCAACAAAGGTTCTTTAAAGTGAAAAAAGGTTCTTTAGATTATTAAAATGTTCTTCACTCCCAGAAAAACAAGGGTCTTTTAAGAACTGTTCACTAAAATGTTCTTTGTGAACCAAAAATGGCAATGAAATCCTATTTGGAATGTATTTAAGAATATAGAACTCTTTTAAAAACTAGGGTTCCAAATAGGGGTTTTTGTAGCCATGCAATAGAAGACCAATTTTTGGTTCCTCAAAGAACCGTTCAACGAACAGTTCTTAAAAGAACCATGTTTTTAGAGTGAAGAACGTTTTATTAATCTACAAGAAGCTTTTGTTGCAATGGAAAGTTTTCTTGGATGTTGAAAGCTGTTGATGGAACCATCACTGCTAATAAGGAACCTTTTTAAGTGTATTGGGTAATAACAATAAATTTAAAGTGCCCCTATTATGTAATGAAAGATTCATATTTTGGTTTTAGGAGTCCCCAACAACAGGTTGGCATGCATGCAAGGTCAAAAACACTTTCATTGTCTTATAGTATGCACCTATAATAGCACTACACCTTTCAGTCTTTTTAGCATGCTTATCTTTCCCACAGTTCATTTTGTAGTACAGTATACTTAGTAATGCATATACAGTGCCGTTGCAGTGCTGCAGAAGCGAAGGCATCAGATAATTGTGCATTTTCACACTCCCAGGGGATTTCCACCATCAAACAACTCCCACCTCTCCCCAGTGTGGGGATTACAATCTGCTTCTGAAAGACTGAATGCCCATTTCTCACTTTGTCTCAGTGTCTGGCTTTTAATAAATGTGGAAGCGTAAGGTGTCCACCTGGTATTGAGGGCTTCAGTTTGTGTTACTTTAATTGTAACAGAGTCCTGGTGTCAGCCAACTGTGATGCAATGGAACAGAGCGCAGCTAGACAAACCTAATTTGTTTGAGGGCTTGTTTTTGTTAAACAATTGAATATAGACTACTAATAATGTTGCTTGTAATCTTAATACAAAGAAGTGCTTGGTGAATGTTTGACATGCAGCTCTATATTGTAGTATGACTAACCAGTCAGATTTGAAAACAGAAGTAAGGAGGAAAAGGGAAGGTAGTTGCTAAAGTTCTACTTTTGACACTGATTGCAGCACAATTATTTAGGTT